GCTCCCACCATCCCTGTGCTGAGTTCCCGGGTCTGTACACCCGCTGTGCCCATTATGAGGAGCTCCCACCATCCCTGTGCTGAGTTCCTGGGTCTGTACACCCGCTGTGCCCATTATGAGGGGCTCCCACCATCCCTGTGCTGGGTTCCCCTAGGTGGGTGGGAAGACGAGCCATGGGGGAGATCTCGTTTCTATGAAGATTTGGGGTAATTCAATCTTTCAGACACCTTTAGGAACTCGGATCCCTTTTTGGATAGACTGACCATTTCTACCTCTTCTCGTACCTCTGCAGCTCCTTCTCCTCCATCCGCCGGGAGTTGGTTCCATATCTGGTCAGTAAACAGTTCTCCTCGTCACACAAGAAGTTGGAACCGGATGCGAGCAAAAAACCTCTAGCGAAGGGTGAGGAACCAGATGTGTAACCGCAGAGCCCGACATACACCAGTACCATCATTCCCCGATAGCCCCCAAATCATGTCATCGCTGTCCGAGGGGCTTTTACATAAAGTGGACCTGTCAGCTCCTCCATGTGGTGTACTAGCAAGCTCCCAAATCTGTAGACGAGCAGTCAGAGGCAGCAGTGCTTTAGATGACCTCACACTGCAGATATACAGCTATGAGAATACAGAACAGCAGTGCCTAGGTACAGGAAGTGCTCTGATATCAGGAGTGCCTAGGTACAGGAAGTGCTCTGATATCAGGGGTGCCTAAGTACAGGAAGTGCTCTGATATCAGGGGTGCCTAGGTACAGGAAGTGCTCTGATATCAGGGGTGTCTAGACACAGGAAGTGCTCTGATATCAGGAGTGCCTAGGTACAGGAAGTGCTCTGATATCAGGGGTGCCTAAGTACAGGAAGTGCTCTGATATCAGGGGTGCCTAGGTACAGGAAGTGCTCTGATATCAGGGGTGTCTAGACACAGGAAGTGCTCTGATATCAGGAGTGCCTAGGTACAGGAAGTGCTCTGATATCAGGGGTGCCTAGGTACAGGAAGTGCTCTGATATCGGGTGCCTAGGTACAGGAAGTGCTCTGATATCAGGAGTGCCTAGGTACAGGAAGTGCTCTGATATCAGGGGTGCCTAGGTACAGGAAGTGCTCTGATATCAGCGGTGTCTAGACACAGGAAGTGCATTGATATCAGGAGTGCCTAGGTACAGGAAGTGCTCTGATATCAGGGGTGCCTAGGTACAGGAAGTGCTCTGATATCAGGGGTGTCTAGACACAGGAAATGCTCTGATATCAGGAGTGGCTAGGTACAGGAAGTGCTCTGATATGAGGCGTGCCTAGGTGCAGGAAGTGCTCTGATATCAGGAGTGGCTAGCTACAGGAAGTGTTTTGATATGAGGCGTGCTTAGGTGCAGGAAGTGCTCAGATATTGGTTTCCTAGACACAGGAAGTGCTCTGATATCAGGATTGCCTAGGTACAGGAAGTGCTCTGATATCAGGAGTGCCTAGGTACAGGAAGTGCTTTGCTATCTTTCGAGAGGAACCTAAGACAAAAGGTAGATTTTTCAGGGTCCGGCAGTCTAAGGCATAACTAACATTGTTCCCCATAACAGCTTCACTTTCTGAGGTCCACTTTATAGCCCTCGGCTTATACTTGACACTCCAATGCCAGAACCTCTGTGGATATTAGCGGGTCTGCCATTTAACTTCCACATGGAGGGGGTGGGGCTAGCAGAAATTGGTGTCTCCTGGGGCCATAGAAAAGACAGTGTGAAGGTAAACGGGTTCTGCCACCTCACCGGTACTGGTACCTTATTCATCTGCTAACACGGTCCCCGTTTGCTTTGCTCTGTGTCTTCCTGACAGACATCTACACCTGTATAATCACCGATAAGCTCATGGAAGCGGCGCTGAGTAAATCCAGCTGGAACGATCACCGCGGCGACATGCGTGAACCTTACCACGGCAGCAGCCTGCGTTGCTACGTTCATGTGGCCCAGAACGAGCTGTGCTGCAGAGTGAACAGCCTGGGGATGTACATCGAGGCCAACAAGCAGGTGAGTGCCCGCTACGGCCTTGTGGTGCCCTCATCGGCGACGGCCGTATACAGAGGACCGGGCCCTTTAAAGGAGAACTCCGGTCCTGTGCGACCGTCTTCTCTTACCATTCTGGTTGTCATGTAGCCCAGCAGCATCTGAGTCACTCATCTGTACATGTGGCCATTACTCTTAAGCCCTCATTCACACGAGAAACGGGAGGCCCGTATGGATCCGTGCTGTATCGGGCCGCTCCCGGGAAGGACAGGTCAGTGGCGTCACAGGGGGGGTGCGCACCGCACCCGGGTGACACCATTGGAGGGGAGACACCAAAATGACTTAGTCATTTTGGTGTCACCCCCCTCTGAAAAGTCGGGCGCTCGGTCATGGACCGAACGCCCGACAAGCAGTACGCCGCCGTACGCTCACCCGACCTGCGCGTCCGCGCGGGTGTCCGTACTCGTCCAATGACGGGATGGATCCTGTCTGCGTCCGAGCAGGGACACCCGCACCCGTACGGACGTGCAGGTTGGGCGGCGTACTGCCATAGAAAAGGACAGGCTGCTGCGTGTAACCACATGCACCTGTCCTTCCCGGGAGCGGCCCTGCACGCGGCACGGAGCCGCCGTTTCTCATGTGAATGAACGCTAATATGTAAGACTCGGCTCTCGCATTGAGTGGGGCCGTCGGCCATGTAACTGCCCCCGTGTAGTTTGTCCCTGTTGGTAATTATGTCCGCGGTGGGCGGTGCCGCTCTAATACATCAGTTGACTGACAGTCATGCAAATGCCATCCCCGCCCACCACCATCCCTAATGTCCCAAAGCATTATGGGACTTGTAGTTCACAAAAGGGCACCCCACAATAGGCACAGGATGTGACGTTGGACACCTGAATGATACCTCCCCCCAGCAGCCGGATATTCCGTCATTGTCATAGTAGCGATGATGGCGTCACATCCTATGTTCTCCGCCCCTTTGTGTACTCTCCTGCAATACCTTTGTGGGAACGTTTGGTTGCACCACACTGAGCATCAGCAGCTGCTTCCTGACGTGGTCGGCTGATGTTTTAACGCCGCCCCCCCCCCCCCCCCCTT